CTTGAAGAGGAAGTTCAAACTCCATCCAATGTTCGAACGCCCATCAAGGAAGGCAGGAGACAATGTTCAAGCAGTGTCCCCAGACAGGCTGCAGAGTGGTTGATTTTCTATCCGGAGTTTGGGGCATTCACTTGGACTTTGAAGACCTTGTACTATTCTTTCACACTTCTTTGCCCCCTCCTCCTTACCTATAAATACTTTCATTGTGGGAGCTTCAAAGGAGACTAGAAACTAGAACTTAGACTTACACTTGCACTTAGCTATAGATAGACACACATAGAGGGAGATAGATCATCTTTTGGTTGATGAGGAAACCCTCCAAAAGTGACTAGCTTTCTTCTAATTTCATTATAGTTTCATTTGCTTCCATTGTTTGAGCTTCCTTCTTCCCTTATAGGAGTGAAACTCTTCCACTTTTCTAGAGCTTTATCAAAACCGTGAAGGGTGGAACGTGATTCACTCATTTTTCGTCGAAGATCGGCTCCTTGTGTTGTGTGTTTTACCTTGTAACTCCTCTACTTGAAAGGTTGAGAATCACTCATTTTTCTAGCTTTAACAAAACCATAAAGAGTGAGTATTTTCTCATTCACTCTTTAGTAAGAGGTGATGGACATGTATAAAACATTTGAAAGTTATATTTGTGCATTTCATTTATGCGTAATGCTTTATCTCTTATTTGCTTATTGAATGATTGAATGCATCTAGCAAAGCTAAGATATTTTGCACAACTATGAATCCTTTCTATGACATAGATGACTCTTGGCATAGAAAGACTCATTGGTCCTTTGCACGTACTCTAGCTAGATCTTTATGACTACCTTTTAATTTTCACCATTATCGTGCTTCAACTAAGAATGGAATACCAACACCACAGTTGGATTCCTTGTAGAAATACTTGCTTGTTTGTAGATGGGTTGAGTCTCGTCACAGACAATTCTTGTAAATCTCTACAAAGACATCGAAATCATACTCTTAATTCTCCCAATCCATTTTTATCTTCCGATTAACTTTATGTTGACGCAGGAGTTAATTGTGTTCCCAAGCATAAGTATAATAACCAGATGATTAATTATATGTCTAGGTCCTCGAGCTAAAGGGTGACTTTTGCATTGGAGATTATATTATATTTTGTCTAGAAAATCCTCTTTGAAAGAATTTTATATTCTATCCAGAAAAATTCATAAACATCATAACTTTAAATCTCAAGGGTTCCAGTCACTTTGGCCTCTATCACTGCTTACTTCGAAACACCAACATTAGTTCCCTATAGATTCGACTTCAGATTTAACCAATTATTACTACAACTTAACCGCCTGCTCTTGGGTATACACATTTCGGATCAAGTCACGTTCCTAGCTCCTGCATTCAATGAATGTTCCTAGGAGGCTCTTCTGCATGAGGTCCTCAACCTAATCTTTAAGAACTATGCAATCTTCAGTATTGTGACTATGGTCACGATGGAACCTACAATACTGATCTGTGGACCTCTGATTTGGATTACTTTGAGGGACACTTCAGGACTCGTTCATCCTAGACCTGGAAAAGAACTTGTTCAATTGGGTTATTAAGTGGGGTGTACTTACGAGCCAGGTCACCCTAGGTCCAAGGCCCTAAGCGGTCCTTAGCACTAACTTGCTCAGTGTGGTTCTTCTTTGGGCCAACTGCCTGATCGCTCCTGTGTGATTGCTCACGCCTTTCCTATCCTCTTGTCTATCTCTCTAGGTTCCTGAAGGCGAGGACAGTGTCTTCAACATTCACATGACTTTATACTCTCGAGAGTAATTCTATTATACTTCTTGGTGGATCTTTGGACAAGGACAAGAGTCCTCCTATAAATGCGGTGAGCACCACTTTATCATATATACTATTGATTGGGAAGGATTCTGTTTGTGAATCTGTTAATGTAGGCTTTGAGCGATTCGTTCCTTCCTTTCTTCACATTAAGGAGATAGGTAAGGGGTTTTATGTGCGTCCTTTCACCTATGAAGTGGGAGATAAACAAGTGCTCAATTCTACAAAAGAATTAATCGAGCCCGGCTTCAGCTTGTTGAACCAATGCCTATTTGTCCTTTTGAGTGTGGTTACAAAGGCCCTATACATCATCTGGTCAGGGACATTATAGAGCATCATTATGGATTTGTAGGTCACTAAGTGATCGAGAGGGTCTCTCAGGCCATGAAACTGATCACTAGCATTTTGAATCTGAGAGGGAGAAGGTCATTAGAAACATCAGGAGTGAAAGGGGACTTGGTGTGTTGCACCAGCGTCTCAACTGCCTCTAGGATGCATGCTTTCACCGTATTCATGACATTACCCAATTTGTCATTAACCTCTTGGAACTTTCATTCCCATTGGTCATTGACTTGTGGGTGAGCCACTTCGTTCTGGCTTTGCCCCTCAATCTTTTGGTTCTTGTCATGTTGTTCCTAAACATTGGGCAAACTATTTTCTAGAGGCCGTTGGACAGTTAAGAGTCGCAATATCTGCTAGTTCTAGTGAATCAGCTCTTCCACAGTTTTTTCTAATTTGTTTTCTTTTTGCGGTGACGTTGGATTCTACCAATTGGGTGTGAACTTGATTGTCCAGCTTCTTAGTTTTGGTTTTTAGTTGGATCTTTTGACTAGGTAACAACCATTGATCCTATAGTATAATGGCAAAACCTCTTCGATTCTCACAGACAGCTTCAACTGTTGATGCCAAAAATTGCCCATCGAGCTCTAGAGATGTGGTTGACCATAATTACACCTCGGCTTTCCTAGGAGGAGTCCTAGCAAGGGAAGTTGAGGACCGAAGGGGCCTCTGATGATCAAGTTAGAAAGTTGAGAATGATAATATTTAGTTGGGAGTTAGACTTACCTGGATGATCTTCAGCTTAGCCTTTTTATAGGCCAATAGGTTGGACCATTGAAGGATTTTTATCCTTTGTTTGAATAAAGACAGCACCAGAAGTGGAACAAACAATGACTCCCTATGGCATGGGTGTCTCAATTGGGTTTGAATTAGTCAAAGCGAGTTGAGTTAAGGAGCTACCGAGCTGGGATGCAGGTTTGGCGAGCTAGAGAGTGAGGAGCTGAGGACGGCCTTTTAGAGCTATGAAGCTCCTCTTCCAAGCTGTAGATCTCCTTTGCAGAGCTCGTGCTTAATTTACCATTATCAATAACAATTACAAAAAGCACCGAGTCAACTACCCCTACCACTAGGGGTTTGCAAGAATTTGACTCCATGTCCAACTCTGGTTCGCCTCCGCCCCCCGTTGGAGACGGAGTCTACAGTCCTTTTCAAAAAAATTCTGACTCTAACTTTTCTTAATTAAGAATTTTATATAAATTATATAATATATTATTATAAATCCAAAATTCTAAGTCCAACCCCTAAACACTACAACCCTCTCTCTCTCTCTCACACACACACACAGAGTCAAGGAAGAGCAACCCTAGCCTCCCTCCATCTCTCTCACTCCTTCGATGGAATAGCTCACAGATCCTTAGATCTGAGATCTCAACAAAACATCTCCGACGAAGCTCTCTCAGATAGTAACTCTCTCTCTCTCTCTCTATCTATATATGTGTGTGTGTGTGTGTGTGTGTTTACATGGTCCCACTCCGATTGGTGGAGGCAAAGGCAACGTATTGTGGGGGCGGAAGAAAAAACTCACTCCGACTAAAGTCGAAGTCAGTGCCCAGCCCTACCTACCACCTCCACCCCAATCCACCACTTCACACTCAAACCTTAAACATACCAGCACAACCCCCCACCTCAAATGGATCAAATACCCCCATCCTCCATTTCATTTTAATTTTCGACCAATCACAAAAATAATTCATATATTTATGATGTTTAACACATGCATTTTAAAGTGAGGAGGAGAAAGATAAATCGTCAGGGCAGTCAATCACCCGCAAATCTTCTCATTGGCATACACACGGGGGGATACCATGAGAAGGGATATGAAGAGCGCTGCGTAGAGAAGGGAGAGGGCTTGGGAGTAAGCAACTTATGATAGTCATAAAAAAGGACAACTCTTGGATCACAACTTTTATAAAACTACAGGGCCATAAAATACAAATCATATTCGGATAATCAAATGCAAATTCAGATTAAAATCCAATACATTCACAAGCGTAATTGTGTGCAGTGAAATTACTATTTCGAAGTCACTCTTTGGCTTCCTTTGCAAAGTTTAAGTTCAAGTCAAGATGCTGTTTGCCAGGTGCTAAGTTGGCTTTAAGAAAAAGTAATTGGTAAAAGGTGCTACCCAGTTATCAAAAACATTTCTAGTTATCACAGGTGTCTTTAAAATTCTAAAATTAGAATGAAATAAAACCTAAACTCTCAATTCATTGCGAAATCTCCAAGATACATTTCGGTATAAGTTCCCAAGAAATAGCACACCCAAACAGGCAGAATCTCAACTTTTAGGCTAGTATGCCCATACCTTTTGTTTTTCCTTCTGTCCGTCGCTTGTATTGTCAAAGCACATTACACAATATCCTAAATAAACTCTAACCATCAATGAGTTGGTAAAACTGAACATTTTGAAGGACCTGCCAACTGATCATTATCCCTAGCAAAGAAACAAAACAATTCTCAAAACTGAACTCTGAAAATATTGGCCACAAACGTGCAAAGATATGCTACTCAAAATACTCAAAAATAATGCATTCGGTTCTTTACAAATTTCGGCATAAGAAAACTTCCCTTCAGCAACAACTACCTCTATGCCTAATATTTGCGAGGAACATTCCCTTTTAAAACTAGAAAGAAACTAGAATGCTGTCCTACCCCTGAATACTGCCACATTATCCAGAGCTGCCTATACAGATGCACCTAGCTTTTCCTAGGTCTTATTTGAACCTAATGAGATAACTTAAAAGCACACTTTCGTCTGCAAGATAAGCAATTATTATTCCCGCCCAAATCAAGAACTCAACGGCCCTAAAATGAGCATGCGATCTCTATAGTCTTCAGTCCTTTGTACATTTTCAAAGCTAAACACCAAATTACCTATGAGCAGGTGTGTGCGGCATTGGATATGTCATGGAACCCATATTCACTGGGGCACCAGGAACTAATGTCCCGGGAACTGGGTTCCTAACAACATATCCCATGTGTGCTGGTTGAGGAAGATTTACCGGCGTGCCAACTGCTGAAACAAGGGGTCCCCCTATTGGTTGCCCTATAGTTGGTGCATCATACATGCCAACTCCAGGGGGAGCAGCTGGGGCTTGAAGTGGTAGTTTGTTTGATTTGCCACTTGAAACTCCTGCAGAACCATTTGTTTGACCCGTAATTGGCCCTTGGGGCACTGCTACATCACCACTGTTAACACTAGTGATATCATGAATGCTCGATCGCCTCCTATCTTTGTTCATAGAGTTTAAACGAATGAAATACTTCTGCGCATGGCTTGCCACTTGTGTTGGCGTTCTTGTTACCACAAAATTTCGAGATATACTTCGCCAATCACCTTTCCCGTACTTATCCAAACCGAGAAGAAATAATCTGTGTTGTCAAAAGAAAAAAAGAAATTCATCAATAAAAGAAATATCATTGGACTCTTAATGACAGAATCAAAGGTAGCATTCAAGGAGCGAAGAATAGGCAGTAAAACAGAACAGTGCAAGGTAGATGATATTGACAGCCTAAAGTATCTGTTCATTCCTTTTTGAAAACAAGCATAAATGGATCAAGACCAAAAACTCTCTTGTTACAAGCATCTGAACACTTAATGCCTGATAAGGTTCGAATCAATTTAACAAATAATTTATGCACAAATGTAGTTCTCAATCAACAATTGAAGCCAAAAAATGAAACAAGACAAAAAAAAAAAAAAAAACATGTAAAAGTATGCTTTGAACAAAATCTACGGGGGGAAAAAAGCGACCAATTTCAAAAAAAAAAAAAGACATAATTCAATGCAAACTGATGGGTATCATGGCTCTATTACATACATAGTGTTTAACAACCTATTGCTCTAGTATTTTCCTGTGATATTACAAGTAAACAAATGAAGGATTCAGACTGAAAAACCAAAAAAAAATTTAGCATTTTTACGCAAAAATTATAGAGAAAGAAAAAGGCTAAAAATTCCATCAGGAGTTGATTTTCAGAAAAATAACAATTTTTACAAAAAATAGGAAAGATATACCAAACAAACCATGATCAACCCAAAAAATTCATAGATGGATCAAAAGCCTCTTTTTTTGTCACTGATCAGTAATAAAAATCATAGATGGTGAAAGCTGATTTCTCTTTACTATCAAGTTCTCCACTCACATAGTCAGTGCCATTCCAAATATCCCTGTTTAATTCTTAATGAGCATAACCTATGCCCAATCTCTTCCTCAAGGCATCAAAGAGAAATGAGTTTTCTCCATGAAGAATCTGGTTATAAATGACTACGTGTTTGGCATGTAAGCTACCACAAAGGATGGCTATCTAGACAACCAACAACATGCCCCAATGCAGTTCGTGTTCCATTTCATGGCTCCAAATCAGTAGCTTACAAAAACTCTTTTAAAGAACTCCATTGTATATCAAGAAGTCATGGGTGCCATTACAAAGAATTGTTACCAAGCTTAACAAAGGATAAGCAGTGTGCCAAGTTATTTGTTTGTCAATGCAAGTTACCCTCATGGAGCTCATCCATGCTTTCAGTGCACTGCTTCTGACACAACATTGGAGAACACGGTGGCATAGCTCAATGGTGCTTTTTTTCCCAAGGCCATTAGCCTGGATGCCAATAACTGAACCCACCCCCACCCTACCCCACAAACAACAGCCAACTAGCTTTACAGGCATTGCTATAGTAGTGGCAATAAACACTTCTTAAGTAAAAAAGTTCTATCATCCATTACGCTGAAATATAACAAAACATATTTTTATGTAATACTCAGGCTCATTTGGTTGCTATATAGTAAAAGAAAGAATCGTATTAGCTAATACAAGCTAATTCTGTGTAAGTGAATAAAATATGAGATTAAATATGGGATAAAAATAATACTCATTGTAATTTAGTGTTTAGTAAGATATTGGATAAGAGTGGGATACTAGAGTGCTAGTTACATATTGACCAAAAAACCATCAATCGAATCTAGTTATGCATCCTTTCGTTTAGTTGGAGGGCAAAATAGTAAAATATAACTTAATACGGCTATACTGTATTATAATACCACCTCTTCACGTGGTATTAAAATTGGCTCAATAGTATGGGTAGAACGTATTATTTGTATACTTATTTTCTATGTATACGAAATAAGACTAGATATAATAAGGAGCATTTTTAGCAACCAAACAAGGTTGGATTAGAGAGTTTTAATTTGTTATGACTCCTTAAAACACCCCCTTGTAGTGCAACCAAACGATCCCTCAGAGTACTGCAACAAGCGCTACTAAATGTCTAAGCATATAACCTACGTCTATTGTCAAACAACGAACAAGGTGGCTAATCATAGCACTATGAACACCGGTTTGAGTTGCAAACAAATGAGCAGTTACATGTCTAGATGCATGCAATACCTCAGGAGGGATCATAAATCTTTCAAGCACGAGTCATGTCTAACTCCATGTAATAAAATCAAGAGATATTTAAAATTTCTTCATATTAAAGCAGATAGTTTAAAGCCTCAGAATATAGGGGTTTAGCCATATACACTGTGAGATCAGACACCAAATATATTGTTAGACTAGATGAAAATGCTATTTTTTCCAGTTTTAGTAATGTTAAGAGAGCTTGTAACCCAGAATAATTAGGACCCCCAAAGTTGGTTAATATACTTGAGGGGCTATTTCATTCATTGCCAATTAGTTTTGGGTGGGATGCTCTAATATGGTACGAGAACTGGGTATTGGGTGGTGAGTGGGCCAAGTCTATTGTACATTTGAATTCTGGTATGCATGATTTTTGTTTGTTTGTTCACCCCACGTTTGAGTCCAGCTCCCACGTGAGGATAGGTGTTAAGAGAGCTTGTATCCTACATTGAATAATTAGGACCAACAAGTTTTGTTTATATACTTGAGCGGCTACTCTAACCGTTGCCAATTGTTTTGAGTTGGATACTCTAACAACTAAGATTGCCCCCGGCATCTTATTTCATTGCCGACCTATAAATTTCTCGTGATTAAATGTTACTTCAATAAATTTCCCTCCCAAAAACCCTTATTACTGCATTTTTCATTATGATAAATTGTAATCAGAAGCTATGACTCTCCAACTCTAGGAAAGGGAGAAAATGTGAAAACCTGTGAATCATCAGAACACAATAAGGATAAATCATATATCTAGACTATCTTGTCAATTGAATTTAATTTGAAATTTGGTGGCTAAACAAACTTACAGCCCTAACATATCAATGGTAAGAAAGAACCTGCGTAGATTAGTTCCTAAAAGGGAGATAGATATACATGCTTGTGAACTACTCCAAACCATGTTTAATCATAACCAAAAGAGTCTTCAGGACAAGTAATTAGATGACAAATTTTCATCCTTGCGGATAAAGTTTAAAAGAGCTACTGGCAGCAGATAGTAGCACTAATCAATGCCATTTCAATCATATCTTTTTTTCAGCAAAATGACTTCTATAAAGCAGCAGATAAATACGTGATTATGTTTCAGATAAATACGTGATCAATGCCACAAAACTTGGGATTCACCACCCATTTAATACATGATTATGTTTCAGTTGACTAGTCAAACACTTGTTCAGCAAATATCAGTGCCTTACTAGCAAAGTGACATGCCCACATGCATGCCTGTGTGCACGACTACATGTAGACAGCAAGGGAATGCAATAACTAAGGTCGTCAAAATGTGCATCGCAACGCCTATTGTTTTTCAAAAATAAATAAGATGAACCTTCTAGTATCCTGTATTGTAAGACACTCAATTTAAAAAATTAGATTAATATTTAAAAACCCCTATATATAGTGTTCAACTCATAAACAATTGTGTGTTTGCGCAGAGATCGAAAGAGAGACAACCTTCGTAACGAAATATAGCAAGGGTTTCATCTGTTTGAACAAGAAGCACGAGTAGTGGAAGAGAATTGCAGGAGAAGAAGATGATTGCAGGCTTGTTTATTTTAGATTGAACCAAAAAGAAAATACTAATATATGAAAAACCCAGTTGTTTCACTGTTTATGGTAAAATTAAAAACGGTGCCTTGCACAAATAGATTTTTTACTGCATTGAAACATATGACACATACCACATATCATACAATATCAACAACTCTAATAATAACAACTAAAATCAACTCAACTAAAGCTTAAGCCACAACTATTGTCTGGGCAGCTGTGGTTGTCTTTATATCATGCGGCATTTAGAAGAAAGGAACTGCCATTCCTTTGAAGGTGTGGAGCTGCTGACTGTCAAAACAAAGTGGGTTAAATGGAAGACAATTATAACTATCATAAAATTCTGAAAACAGTAATGTTATGCTTACCAAGTATCTTACCAAGTTTTTCATCTCAAGTAATGTGACACAATCTTCATCATTAAATATTAATAAGACTCATTTATTTGATGGTAAAAATTATGTCACATTACTTGGGATAGGAAACTTGGCAAGAAATCTTGATCTGCATATCATTGTTGTTCTGATAAATGTGTTTAAGGGTTCAGTTTCACTCTTTCCCACTACCAATTTTCTTACCAAGTTCTCGATTCAAATTGGGATTTTATTGATCCAAGGTATTTGTTTTGTTTGTTAGGACTTAGGCGTATTTAGTTATTGAGTTGACCCAATTTACATTTATTATTTTAATACCTAACCCTCAATGCAAATGTGATTGTCTTATATAATTATCATTGTAGTGGGGAATGTTGACAAATGAGAAAAGTTACTTAAAGTTTTTTCATTACTGAAATCTTTCTTCATTCGCTAATCTCTTTCTTTGAAAAGTTGAATGCAACAGTTACGCTTCATCTCCTCTCTTGGAAATTTATTATAGCAAGATAGTTTTCCATTCTTATTATTTTCTTTATTTATTTATTGTGTGTTTTGATGTCGAACAATCAAAGTTGTTTATTTAAAAATCTCTCAACTTTTCAGTCTCTCTTCTACATCGCTTTCTGAAAGTTAAGATCAAAATACTTCAATTCTTCCATTTCTCTTCACAAAATTCCACAAGGTTAATAGTTCGCCTTTGATTTTCAACCATCTTCAATACTCAGATTGTAGTTTCTCAAATATTAGTCATATCTCCAAGTTTTTGTTTATAATAACATTTTTATTTGCATATATACTAGTTTTGTTTAATTCTTATTTTTAAGAATTTTGTATTGTCATAAATTTTTTCATCTCAGTTTTGCCGTTCGTAGGATCTTATGATTCTCGATCCGATCCTACAATCTAGATTCTTTAGACCCCACCGATTCAAGACAGGATCCCGATTTTGCAAGATTTAAGCAATAACCATAGCTCTTTCTTAAAATAAGGCATGTGCTTGGACCAACTCTAAAGACCGACATTTAACACACGTTATTGTTACACAGTAAAATCAAATTAGGTTCTACAAAAACTACTAGTTTTTATGATTGATAAACTACTTATAACCAAGTTTGTCAAAACGTGTATCGGATCAAGTATCATTTTTCAAACAAACGTATCGCTATCGTGTACCATAAGATATATACAATTTTATAAAATATATTAAAAAATACATATGCTTATGGCAAAATGTCATAATAACATTTCATTACACCACAAATTTCTCACATAAAACAATTTAAAAAGACTACAAGAACCAAAACAAAAAAATAACAATTTATAAGTATTTAAGATTTTATTATAATTCATCAATATCAAAGTTTGGAGAGTTCTAGTTCTAACATCTAAAGTTGGCCAAAGGAGGACATTTTTAACAATCAAACTATTTGTTCCTACGATGGAACGAATAAAAAGAAGACTTCATTTTATAAAACTATAGATGGTGAAACATTTCATTACCTAATGCTTAAAAAAATTATTTCCAAGTAAAAATGCATTGTTTTCTAATTAAAATTCAGAAAAAAAAAAATATTTGATCTGTTTTGTCCAATATTGGACGACTCATACATATCATCTCGTATCGGGTGTATCTTATTGTTTAACACACAATACGATGCAAACCGATACACTTAAGCAATACATATCATTTTCGTAATGTATCGAAATGCATCGTACAATAATGTTGGGTGTATTTTCAGATTGTGAGTGTGCCAATGTCTAATTGGACTTAAAATCCAAATATGTACAATCTTAATTATTTGAACTGGCATGAGATTCTTAAATCGTGATTGTTCAAACGATTATAGCAAGGCGTAAGATTACCGCTAAGCTCTTTTCTATGCCTTGAAGATCAAGGACTTAAACAATTTCCAAGCAGTAACAGAATGGACTGGAATGTAGAAACACAATTAGAATGTAAAAAAACAGAAGCACCAGAATTCGTAAAAAAAAAAAATACTGATATACTTAACATTAAACGTAAATAAAAATCACCGGAGTGATGGGTTACAAGCTAGGAAGTACGAATACTCCAATAGGGGTTGACGTGGTTGTAGCAGACACGTGTCCAACACGAATACGCGTGGAACACAGTCAGACATGTCTCTGATACTTCCACAACTATCTTGAAAAAAAAATTATAAAAAATCGGATACCAGATAAATACAGGAAGGATACAGTACCTCTCTTCTTCAACCACGGATCTAAAAGCCACAGATTTGAACTTGGTCAAGTATGTTGAAGAACTCTTCCTCTTCTTCTTCTTTCCTTCATCTTCTCTGTCTGACTTGGATCTATGCGATCTAGATTTGTTCGATCCCTCTCTCTCCCTCTCTCTTTGTAGATATAAGCTTCTCAATTCTTTTTTCTTTTTTTATCAGTCACGCCTCTCTCTTTCTCTCTCTCTCGAAGCTTCTTCGTTGTGGTGGTGTAGTGTCCACCAAATAACTAAACTCTTGTATTTAATGTTAAATTACAATGACATCCTATTAGTTTAGCCCATTCCCCATAACATTTAGCCCACTGTCCATAACATTCAGCCCACTAATTAAATTTAATATTAATTCATTTT